GAATTTTCGGAGGTCGGGCCCGACGACGACTGCCATTTATAAATCTCATCGGCGGCCGTCATTTCTTTTCGGCCTCCGAAAAGGTCGGATGCCTACCCGAGGCCCGCTATTTTCCAAGCGGCAAAGGTACTAGTGGTCCAGCAGCCTTGAGATTTTCTCTCAGGCCACATAAAAGAAAGGGAAGGACCCAAAAGAAAAAGACAGAAGGGACAAAATCTAGTACTCCACTCATCTGCTTCCATCCAGTGGAGTTCGAAGTTTAAACCCAGGTCTGAATTTCAATAGAATCACTAGCATATCCAGCTATCAGCCACGGGCCCTTTTCAGTGGTTACCTCCCACCGATTCGATTTATATACGGCACTGGGCCTCTGAAAATTTCGTAGGCGACGAGTTTTCTTTTCAGCAAGGCTGGGGCCGTGTGCTGGGGCTGTAGCAACTGGCCTCCGTGGGCTTTGTCTTAACAGCAACAGGAAGCATCTAAGGGCTCGCCCCACCACTCATGACAGCGGCTGTTTGGTGAGTAGCTTTTTCCGTTGCTGGTGAAAGCTCGTGCTGAGCACTCACCACAGTTTGCTTTTTCCCCGCCCGCAACGGCAGGTTCGTGGAGACTCCTCTGGGCTCTCACCAAAAGTAGTGAGCTCACCGCGACTTTACAAGACGAGGCCGGGGGTGGTGTTGACCAGCCCGGCCCTTGTCTTGTAGTGTGGTGAGTGGATAAGCGTGGTGAGTGGTGGAGGGAGGCAGCTTTTTGGTGAGAAAAGAAAGTCCCGTGCACGGGAAATCGAGTTTGGTGAGTGGTCATGTCGGCTAGCTCAGTAGGTTTTCATGCTTGAGTGGCGCCGCGTAGGTGCTGGGTTCTATTCCCATTGCCGTCACTTTCAGTGGCCTGAGAAGGATTGGTGGCCACGACCAGTCGACACTGGTAACTCGCTGGGGCGAGTTGTGCCGCCCTGTAACCCGTTGCAATGCGGGAGCATCGGGCGGAGTGGAAGTGGCTGCTCAGGTCCGCCTGTTGCGGCCGGTCGGGACACACCCAATACACATCCAATAAACGAGCTGCCAGGTTGAGTTCTCAGTCAGAATCATCATCATCGCTGACATTCATAGTTACGATGCTTACCAGGGTTGAGGCCCTCAATTTCACGATATTTCCATAGGCTTAAAAAAAAAACTGTCACCATACCTGTCCAAACATAAGCTCAATAAGGAAGCTCAATAAGTCATGATCATGGCATATAATCTACAATAACAACTTCCATAACAATCTTGAAGTACCCGGGGCCGGTCACTTGTGGATATATCTCAAGACTGTTGCCCTTTTCAAAAAAAATAAAAATAAAAAGAGTTTGGTGGGAGGTGGCCCGAGGCCCTAAACGTCATCACTTTACAAGACAAGGCCAGGGCTGGTTGAGACCGGCCCCGACTTCGTCTTGTAGTGCGGTGAGTAAACGAGTGTGGTGAGTGGTGTGGCGTGAGGCAGCGGTTTGGTGAGAAAAGCCCCGTGGTGTGTAATCACCGAGGGATATCGAGTTTGGTGAGTGGTTGAGCGAGGCCCAAATCGTCCAGTTCAACAAACGGTCGCCTTCTGTCCAAGTCAAGATGATGGATCTGTTCGATGCCTGTGCCTGTGTGCATACTCACACCACCAGGTCCACCACTTCTTTTTCAGCGCTTGAGACCGGTCCCCACTTTGTCTTGTAGTGTGGTGAGTAAACGAGTGTGGTGAGTGGTGCAGAGGGAGGCAGCGGTTTGGTGAGAAAAGTCCCGTGGTGTGTACTCACCAAGGGATATCGAGTTTGGTGAGTGGTTGAGCGAAGTCCAAAACGTCCAGTTAAACAAGCGGTCACCTTCTGTCCAAGTCAAGATGATGGATCTGTTGTGCCTATGTGCATACTCACACCACCAGGTCCACCACTTCTTTTCCTACTAGGCGCTGGAATTTAGTGCAGTCAGATTCATCCATCTCTGCTCGTAATTGTCGTCAGATACCTCTAGGAAAGTGCCAGTCTGAGTATGTCCTGTGTGCGACCATCCCCCGAGGGCATGTATGGCCTGCGTAATGTCTGCATGGTCTTGTTAGTTGGCACGTGCGGCCATGATCCGCCATGGGTGTTGGGATCCCAGTTGCCCAGCTTCACCAATTACGATTACGTAGATCATAGGGCCTCGCCACACCACTATCGAAACACAAATTATCGATAGTTTCGCATCGCCACACAGCCTATCGAAAAATGCGAGAGCAGATTAACCGAGCACCCATTTTTCAGGCCCATTTATAAGAAAACCAGACAGTCATTTTAACAACACTTCACACCAATCTATAGAGTGCACTTCTTACGACCCCATCACAGAAAAAAACCCTAAAAAAAGCAATTAAAAACATATAAAACAGCAAGCCAAAGGTGCATTTCCATGAAATTTGGCCCAAAAAAAACTCGACCAATTTCAGAAATCTTAATACCGCAAATTCTAAAACTCCAAATAACCCCAAATTTCATATACGGCAACCCTATCAAAATGCATATATAGCAAAAACTTGAAATTCCAAAAAAACATGAAATTTGAGCCCAAAACCCTAATTTCAGAAATTTCAGGCCTGAAAACCAGATGCCCCGTTAACCTCTTGTGAGCTTCGAAAAATTTCGATAGGTGTCAGAAATGGGAATTCGATACCCCTATCGAACGAAATGTGCACGTCCGCCTGCAATCGCCTTCTCTTCGATAGCCCACATTCGGGACCATCGAAAAACCGCCCACGCACGCGCTGGACAACAGGACCTGCACACAGACGACAGACATCGAAAGCGGACCCGGAACGGAAAACATTCGATTCGACAGTGCTGTGTGTCGAAAGGGGGGGTTTCTATCGAAGTCCGGACTATCAAATTTTTCTGACACCTATCGAAAAAAAACGCGATTCGATAGTGGTGTGGCGAGCCCCATAGGCAGGTAAGTGGGGCCCAGCCTCAGGTTGTTTTTTATCCTTCTTGTTTTTTCACTAAGGGTGTTACATCTTCGACTCACACGGGTCCTACCGGACCCGACTTAGGGCCGGAGGGACACACCAGGGCCTAAAGGCCCGACCTTTTGGGGTTACAGGCCCTAAAGGCCTGATTTTGGACCA